GCCAGGTTATGGTTTAAAATAAAAGAGCATATCTTTGTCTTTGATACTATTATCTATTGCATAGTGTCTTTGGTTTTGTTTTAATTAAAAAAATTCTTTTTCAAAGGGTAGTACTTGTACACATGTGTACTTCGATCGAGCGAGCGTAAGGTGTTTTTCTTGTACACATGTGTACTGTCGGCGACTTTACAGGTCGCGCGTTCTACTATTGTAGAACAGGTATGCATTTCGTGGGATTTTAATATTAATTGTGGGTGTCTAACGCACACACTCTTGTTTACTCTTTTTTATTACTAGGTGGTGATCACAATTAGTACCCTTTCGGCAAACTGCGCGATCGCACTTGTTAGAAATTTCGCACCAAAACTAAAATTCAACAATAGTAGAGCGCGCGAGCACTCGCGTGTCATTTTTGTCGGAAGTTTACCTATCGTTTTTATTTTATGTAAGTGTTTATATTATGTATAAATATTGTTATTATGAATGTTTTATAGAGTCTATATTTGCATGATGGCATTTTGGATTTGGAAGAAGTTTTATTGGGTTGGGATTATTTTTACGATCAAAGGTACCTTCTGCCTACCATATGGAAATATACGCAGGTGCTCAGCCAGATGGTCCTTATGCACAATCAAATAAAGTTGTGGACATTGTGCAACGAATGCTTACCCCATTGGATGGTTTAGGTTATAACGTCACAATGCACAATTGATTCACGAATATACCTCAATGCTTAGAACTCTTAGGTAGCAAAATTACTGTCGTAGGCACTGTGAAGAAAAATAAGCCACAAATTCATAAAGAATTCAAAATCACAAGAAACAGAAGCGAAACGAGTTCAAGTTTTGGCTTTCAAAAACAAGGTACTTTAGTATCTTACATGCCAAAATCAAAGAAAGTGGTGCTTATTTACTCACCTATGCACTATGATGATCATATCGATTTACAAACAGCAGAGAAATTGTTAGCGTAAAAGTTATAATAACTTTTTACAACAATACCAAATATGGCGTGGACATTATTTGTTGTACTTATGACGTCTCACTTACTATTTTTTTCAATGAATATAAGTGCTATAAACGGTTATATTGTACATACAATAAACAAGGACTACAGAAATAAGGCCAGGAAGGATTTTTTATATGAACTTGGTTTTCACCTTGTCGCGCCATGCATACAACGCAGAATAAATATTGAAAGTATTCCAAAATCATTGAAAATGAAAGGGAAAATGCTTTTAGGCATGAAAGAGCCATCGGAATTACAACCATGCCCAGCACAACTCCCCAATACTGGTCGAGTCGGGAAATGTTCCTTTTGTGGCAGAGCGCGCAATAAGTCCACTAGAAAACAATGTCACACCTGTAAAAAGTGGATTTGTCCTCAACATCAAGTTCTTCAATGCCTTGACTGTTGTAAAAATGATAAAGGCCGTGTGGAAGATATGAGCGAGTAAAAAAAGGAGACTGAGAAGGTTTGATGCCAAAAAATCATTGATTTTTCTCAAAATTCCCAAGAAGTCTGATATTAAGTGCCTAATAAATGGTAACAGTTATGTTTCGTCTATTTTAGTTTCTTATTAAAGTTTGTTTTAATATGATATTGAAGTATTTTTATATTTGTTTATTGTTCCTGTAAAATCTTTACACAAAAAAGTTCTACATATGTAGAGCGCGCGAGCATTCGCGTCCCAAATAGGGGCGCGCGTAATGGAGTGTTAAGCACACACGTAAAGTTTCAACATGCGGAAAAGCGTACTTTTTGAGAAAAAAATATTGAAAATCAATTATTTTTGCAATATTTATGTCAATCCCTATCTCAGATTATATGATTTTTTTTTTACAGAAAGGTTACACTATTGTAAGCACACACGCAAAATTTCAACATTCGAAAACTCGTACCTTTTGAGAAAAAAATTATTGAAAATCAATTATTTTTATAATATTGACGTCAATCAAAATCGAATCAAACGTTCTTTTGTAAAAGTTAAGTTGTCACATGTTCGGTAGCATTTTATTGTACATTTTACTCATTATTTGTACTCATTTAAATAGTTTTCATTCATACACATATATTTAACAGTTTATATTTAAATTACAGAATTATTATCCTTATGAGCTATTAAAATTAAAATGTGTAGTGTTTACCGTTTCTTGCCGGCTTGTGGGACGTAACGTAAAACTGACGATTTCTAAGAATTAATTAAAGCAATATGTGTATAAAATTGTATAAAACATGTGTATAAAACAGTACCCACCTATTAGGACAGATAACAAATAAAATAGGTTAGGTTCAACTTATGTCAAGGAACCGAATTAATAGACCCCGACTCCACGTGGTACGAGTCTGTCCTACCCCTAGAGTGTTTTTATAGAGACGGAGGCGCGTAGGGAGAGCAGCCTCCGCCTGCTGTAACAAATGGGGGGCGGGGGCGGGGGGGGCGCCGCCGAAGCTGCGGAGGCGAGGCTGGATGCCTGCGATTTTTACGCAAAGGCGTAGAGGCTGCTCTTCCCGCAGCGCCGAAGACGTTGCAGTCTCAAAATAGATACAGAAATCCCTCTGAATGAGTCCCTCTATTTATTTTTGGTGAAGGGGGTTCCTTCCCCCCCAAGAGGTCCCCATGGTTTTTTACACTTAATATTTATCCATAAAAATAAAATTTCCTCAGAATTAAAATTGAAAAAACTCAAAAAGGGGGGGGGCTCCGCAACTTTTCCTTTAAGGGGGATTAGTACACCTCCCCCAAAATACTTTTCCACTTTATTATATTAATTAATATAGATATAGATAGAAGATGTAATTCACAATCACATATCCAGAGAGTATGTAAATAAATCACTACCTATAATAGAACCTCTTACAACTATATATATATATATCATTTATAAAAAAATAAACATATCTTCTAAAAAAACAAATACTCAAAAAACTTTTCCACTTTATTTTATTAATTAACATAGATATAGATGGAAGATGTAATTCACCATCACATATCCAGAGAGTATGTAAATAAATCACTACCCATAATAGAACCTCTTACAACTATATATATCATTTATAAAAAATAAACATATCTTCTAAGAAAACAAAACTCAAAAAAACTTTTCCACCTTATTATATTAATTAATATAGATATAGATGGAAGACGTAATTCACAATCACATATCCAGAGAGTATGTAAATAAATCACTACCCATAATAGAACCTCTTACAACTATATATATATCATTTATAAAAAATAAACATATCTTCTAAGAAAAACAAATACTCAAAAAACTTTTCCACCTTATTTTATTAATTAACATAGATATAGATGGAAGATGTAATTCACAATCACATATCCAGAGAGTATGTAAATAAATCACTACCCATAATAGAACCTCTTACAACTATATATATCATTTATAAAAAATAAACATATCTTCTAAGAAAACAAATACTCAAAAAAACTTTTCGAACTTATTATATTAATTAATATATATATAGATGGAAGAAGTAATTCACAATCACATATCCAGAGAGTATGTAAATAAATCACTACCCATAATAGAACCTCTTACAACTATATATATCATTTATAAAAAATAAACATATCTTCTAAAAAAAAACAAATACTCAAAAAACTTTTCCACTTTATTATATTAATTAATATAGATATAGATGGAAGATGTAATTCACCATCACATATCCAGAGAGTATGTAAATAAATCACTACCCATAATAGAACCTCTTACAACTATATATATCATTTATAAAAAATAAACATATCTTCTAAGAAAAACAAATACTCAAAAAAACTTTTCCACCTTATTATATTAATTAATATAGATATAGATGGAAGATGTAATTCACAATCACATATCCAGAGAGTAGTTGTACATAAATCACTACCCATAATAGAACCTCTTACAACTATATATATCATTTATAAAAAATAAACATATCTTCTAAGAAAACAAAACTAAAAAAAACTTTTCCACCTTATTATATTAATTAATATAGATATAGATGGAAGACGTAATTCACAATCACATATCCAGAGAGAGTATGTACATAAATCACTACCCATAATAGAACCTCTTACAACTATATATATCATTTATAAAAAATAAACATATCTTCTAAGAAAAAACAAATACTCAAAAAAACTTTTCCACTTTATTATATTAATTAATATAGATATAGATGGAAGACGTAATTCACAATCACATATCCAGAGAGTATGTAAATAAATCACTACCCATAATAGAACCTCTTACAACTATATATATCATTTATAAAAAATAAACATATCTTCTAAGAAAACAAAACTCAAAAAAAACTTTTCCACCTTATTATATTAATTAATATAGATATAGACGGAAGACGTAATTCACAATCACATATCCAGAGAGTATGTAAATAAATCACTACCCATAATAGAACCTCTTACAACCATATATATAATTTATAAAAAATAAACATATCTTCTAAAAAAAAAACAAATACTCAAAAAACTTTTCCACTTTATTATATTAATTAATATAGATATAGATGGAAGATGTAATTCACAATCACATATCCAGAGAGTATGTAAATAAATCACTACCTATAATAGAACCTCTTACAACCATATATATCATTTATAAAAAATAAACATATTTTCTAAGAAAAACTCCTCTGCTTTATTATATTAGTATAGACTTAACAAATTCGAGCCTTATAACTTATTACGTGGATTTATAATTCGCATTCTCTTACTTCTTTTGTTAAGAATGAAAATTACCTTTAACTATTTAAGATTTAAAAATTAGTTAAAGGTTTCATAATTAAAAGCATGGTGCATCACAGGCTTATTTTTAAATCAAGTAAATTAGTACTTTGTAACATTTTTTTAATCAAGACTTAATGAACAAAATGATCTTTTGAAAGGTTTATAAATGGCTGCCATTGAACACAATCAAGAAATACTTTGGAATCTAAATCTCTTTTAAATTACATTATATATTTTATAAAAGCACCTATAATCTAAATGGACTTCTCCTCCCTTTAACACCTTCAATATTTTTATAGTTATCCACTCCTGGGGCCACCTGTAATCTTCCTCGGCCTCTTCCTACTACAAATAAGTCATTGGTGGTGGAAGGCTTTTCATGATGCGGCGTCTCACAATTAAACGCCGTCTGACGTGCCGAAGTGTTAAAATTGCGTGTTAAATATTCCTCGTAGCTATTGCAAACAGTTCCGGCGTGTGTGTTCGTTCGTGGCGTCAATGAAAAAGGTGAGTTTAAGTGCTGAAACAAAATGGACTCCTTTTAGAGCTCGACTCTTATAATACTAAATTATTTTTAAAGGTGACAAATCATACCACTAAAGATGGTTTGTGTGTCGTGATTTTTGGAATGACTAAGGGTGTTATCACACCGATCGTTCGATCGTCGATCGGTGCCATTGATCGACGTCGATCGATGTCGGTCAATTGGTGTGTTAGCTTTAGCTAATCGACGGATACTGGTCGATAAAATGTTGTTTAATCATTGATCGACGTCGACTAATCCATTCAACATCGATTCATTCATTCATCGATATTCGACGTCAATCGACAATCGATCGGTTCGGTTGTTCTAATTTTATTAGTACGATTTTGAGTAAAAATAGTACATTAATTTACTTTTGAATTTAAAAACTGTACTCCTCGTTTCGATATTTCAGCATAAATGTGGTGTTTGTGCCAGGTAGTACCTTTTTGGCACAACCACGCGAGATTCGTGACTTGATTTCGATTTTATGATATCCAAATCAATTATAGTCAAAAATCCAGAAAAAAAAACTATAACAGATTGATACATCTTTTAAGGAAGTTAAGAAATGCGGTGAGGTCCCAAGATTTACAGTACCTACAATCATGTACAAAGCTCAATCTGGCTAGGTCTAAGGTAAATTAAGAATATTATTTTAAGTTTTGCAACTAAATTAGTCTAGAGTTATGAAAGAAACTGATTTAGAAATTATAGAATAGACGGATTTAGAAAGGGAATGGGGTGTACAGATCAAGTCTTTTCCATGCGCATGATCGCGGAGAAGTTTTTGGCGAAAAACCAAAAAGTTTTTTGTGCGTTCATGGACTTGGAAAAGGTTTATGACAGAGTGGACAAGGATATGTTATGGCAAACGCTGAACTCATTTAGGTTGAACGCTGGATTGATACAGGCATTAAAGTCTCTGTATAGGGACTCGAATGCTTGTGTTAGGATCAACGGGGCCTACTCGGACTGGTTTGGCATCCATAAAGGTGTTACGACAGGACTGTGTAGCTTCCCCGTGGCTGTTCAACCTATTTATGGTCAGTTGTTTGGAAAATTTAAAAGTTGAAGAACGCGGGTTAAGAATGGGTGAGTTAACCATCAAATGCCTTTTGTACGCCGATGATCAAGTCATATTTGCGTCGTCGGCGGCCGAGTTACAAGTGATGGTTACATTAATGAACAGGTCATTAAAAGAAAGGGGAATGAAAGTGAACGCAAGTAAGACGAAAGTAATGGTTTTTGAAAGAGAAGAAAGCAAAACGATTTGTGAAATAAGAATAGAATGAGAGTTAATTGAGCAAGTGGATGAGTTCGTATATTTGGGATGTGTATTCAGCAGGGATGGGAGATATGATGAGGATATTGAACGACGAGTGAATGCAGGAAATAAAGTAAATGGGGCTCTACACTCTATTGTAAAAAGTCAGAATGTGTCAAAAAAGGCACGTATGGCAATTCACAATGCTGTATTAGTCCATACTTTAACGTATGTTAGTGAACGTTGGGTGTGGCAGAAAAGGCACGAGAGTAGATGCGGTCGCTAAGGAGTATGTTAGGGCAATCTGAGTGACAGGGTGAGAAAATGTGTGATAAAAGAAAAGTGTGGTTTGCAAGATGATGCGGTGACTAGGATTAAGAAAGGAATGCTCCGGTGGTTTGGTCATGTAGAAAGAATGAATGAGGAAAGACTGACAAAGCAAATATATGTTGCAAAAGTGAATGGAAGAGTCGGAAAGGGACGTCCTAGGCGAAAGTTTGTCGACCAAATTGGCGATATACTAAAAATGGGCCAAATTAAGAGTACCCCTGACCGACGAGCATGTATGCGTAGGTATATGGATGTGGAAGAGGCGAGAGAGGTATGTCAGGATCGTGCTAAATGGAAGTCTGTAGTCTCTGCCTACCCCTCTGGGTGACAGGCGTGACTGTTTATGTTATGTAAATTAGTCTACTGTGACCTAGAACATAATTTTCTCACCTGTAGTCGAATTTCCTCGAGCTGTAGATACCACATAATAATAGCCTCAGTCGGTATATCCTTTCTCGATCCTGAGGGCGACAACTGCGCCACTGCATTTTCGGTTAGCACTGTTGAATTAATGAGCAATTAAAGACCTAATTACAAGAAAATCCAGTCACCTCGCTATGTAGCCTAGTTGATGTAAGACTTATGCCCGGGTCTTACCCTAAAAAAACGCGTTAACTTTCTCCTCATTATCGTGACGGAATGTAGACACGATTAAATAAATCATTAACAGTTATAATAACAAAAGGTCATAAGAAAGATGTTCATGGTATATGCCTCAATATTCACGCTTGGCAAGCGGTTTGACGTTCGCTGTACCAGACATCTCGCACTTTTATCGTTACTCCTCGTCACCGGTCTTGATATAACATACATTGAAAGTCGTTCAAATTTCTATCATTTCTCATCTTTAAGGCACCAACAGGACAAAGTGATATATAAGATAGATTCTCTCAGGAACTCATGACACGGCTATTCTATCAATTTATTTAAGAAATTATAAAAGTACTATACTAGATACTGGGAAAACAAATGAAGTTAACCAACTCAGCAAATTATTTCAATGACATATTTTTAGATAAATTTCTTATGTTTAAAACTTCAAGATTTAAAGGATAACGTAAAATTAATTTCATTCAATGGGTAGTATTCGCGTAAAGATCGGCGGCCGTACACGTTGGCCAACACAGTGGCGAATGTAGTGGCGAGAGTGTATTGGCCGAGAGTTTGTGACGGCACCCACACGTTGGAAGGTTATTCAGTTTACTTCGGTTCAGGCTGATGTGCCGACGAATTTATTTTATTTTAGACGACGGCTCCGTGGCACAGTGGCTTAGCAATGAGAGGCTGCGTCGGGGGCCGTGGGTTCGAATTCCGCACGGAACAAGTATTTGTATGTCCTACAAATAATTGTTCCGGGTCTGGATGTGTGTCCCTTGCCATTTATGTTTGTAAGCTGCCTCCGCGATACAGGAAAAAATCCAAGTGTGGGGTAACGTTTTTATAAAATAATTATAAAAGAATAGTGAATATTAATGGGGCTGTAAATAGATATACGATTAGCTTTATTTATTCTTTACATGCATCATAAACTGGAATAAATGCCATTAATTAGAGCTAAACTTATTTTAAAGTTAAAGAAGTTATAATCGATTAGTCTATGTTTTAAAATTGGGTTTTGATTTTAAAGTTTAGCAAAACATGTACTTGCTTTTCTATCAGACATTTGATGTATATAAAAAACACCTTATAATTTATTTCGTAATTTTTTATTTTTTGAGAAAGACAAAAACAATAGGAATAAATATAATTAACACTGACTTAATAATAGGTACTAATTATAACTTAGAACATAAATGAAAAACTCATGACAAGGAAAGTGGCACAGGACCATGCTTTGCGGCATTCTTTGGAGGAGGATGTTCAGTAGTGGACTTGTGAAGAGCTGCAATGATGATGATGATTCGAAAACTTGCACGATTAAATTATAAGAAATCGACGCTTTTTTATAGGATGGAGGACAAACGAGCACACAGTTCACCTGATGGTAAGTGGTTGCGGTGGCCCACAGACATCAACATCTATCCTCGATTACGAATCAAAATGCAGATACGTTGTTACCCGTGAGGACTAAGATGAAATGCCTCGTTTCCTTTAAAAAGGGTATCTGGTTCTCTACACTCACTATAAGAAACACAGTATCATTAGGTTACTATTTTACGCTGACATTCTGTGAGAGCGTGATCCTTCCCCGGTCGAGCCGACCCATTCGTGCTACAATTATACTTCTAATATAACTGCATGGTTACCACGTATAAACGACGTGCTTCATTTTATTTTCATTTTAAAATTGTTCTCGTAATAATCTGATTGTAAATAAATTTTCATTATTTTTTTTTGATAAATAGCTTATCCATTAAAACAAATGTTTAAAAATAATTAAATCGCGCTAACTAAAGTAGTAGGAATATTTAAGGTTGAAACTGGCACTAAAAGGCTGGTAATTGGGGCATCCACCCTACAAAGCGTGAATATAAAAATTAAATCAGGTGCGTGTAATCACACTGGGAGCTTGTAGCAAACTAAACGCGCGCCCAACGTGTGGACGCGGCGACCAAACTCTGCCAACAATCCTTTGATCTTTTGTAAAAAACCGACACCACACGGATCTCGCGCCAACTTGCGGGGCATCGTTCCAATACATACCAATGAAGCCCAAACACCCCGTCTACACGTTGGCCAATGCTATTGGCCACTACATTCGCCACTGTGTTGGCCAACGTGTAGAGGCGCCGTAAGAGATCATACTTCTTTAGCGCCAGGGGACTAGCGGACTACTCCTTCAGATGGGAGAGAGATGATGATTTACCTACAGGCTAAATAGACTGGAGCCTAGGGTGCATGGTCAGAGGGGGCGCTGAGCTTGCCTTTGCAAGCACCACTTACGTACAGAATAACATTTGATATACCTAATATTAACAATCTATGATAGAGTAAGTGCCGTAAGTATTTTATTTGTTGCTCTTTCTGTATTTTTGGTACAAAACAAATGAATATATTGTGAGAATAAGACTTTGAATTATTTGGTACCTTTGATCTTTTGTTGACTGACTGGACGTGATTCAAATATTTTAAAATGCTCCATATCTCTTTCCTACCTCTAATTTTATTAAGATTAAATTTTAATGTAAGCCGCCATCTGTTCCATGTCTGCACAGGGGGGGAGAAAGTCTATCTTTTAGGTCATCTTATTGAGGGCAACTCGACTCGACGACGACGATCACGGGGGTATACACCGTCAACCATTACACATATAAATAAATAAATAGCCATCCTGTGGTGTGATTGCTCCATAATGGATTGTGCAGTTTACACAGCGCTCAGTGTGCAAAATATTCCTCTACCTGGACCTCAAAAGTCGAGTAGGCCTGATAGAGCCCCCCTGTTCTGCTGAAGACGGGTGCACCGTAGTTAGCAACAGTTCTAACGCATTTTGCTACGCATTCTCCTACTTCCTAGGTGTAATCCTGAACTTATGGAAGACAGATTTGATGTACCCGATCCCTAAAAAGGCGACCGCTCAGACCCGTCCAACGTTACGGCTTCTCACTATCGTGTGCTTGTTCTGTAAAATAATTGAATCCAATAGTAAACTATAAATCCATTATAATCATAAGGTACCTTCAGGACCACTAAACAGCGGGTTCTAGTTCAAATCTTCTAATTTACCTGACTCATAGATGAGCAGAAGCGGTACAATCCAAGAGCCTCCCCCTTGGATTGTACCATGGTCGTTACTTTGGACGTAGCGAAGGCCTTCGAAGGACTTTGGCGTAAAGCGCTTCTTTAGAAGTGCCTATCTCTCTCTCTGTTCTTTAGAAGTGGTATGTGCTTACCAAGAAATTGTGCAATGGGATCATTAGTTTTCTTGCAGACTGGAGCATCAAGGTCGTAGTAGACCGTGCATACTCGGGCAATAAGACTTTGAATGCTAGTGTTTCACAGGGCTGTGTGATATCGTCTACATTGTTTGTTCTGTATATAATTTTTCTCGGGCACACGTCATTGAATAACGGAAGTCAAGTCTCGTTCAGTTTAAACTTCAAAAGACACAGGATTTGCACGTTTACCACTAATAAGAACCTCATCGTCTTATTTCCTCAATTTCAGGGCACTCCCATGTTGCCTCACCTAGCATCAGAAACCTCAACATTAACATATCGAATGACTTACAGTTCCGCGGTCACTTGGAAGGGACAGTATTTCATGCTGGCACACCGTTTGCAACTATATAAGTTCTGCCTCACACGGAGTACTATTGTCATGTCTGGACCGGGATGTCTTAGTGCCAACTGCTTCCACATTACCGCATCCAACGAAGAGTGACTCGAATCGTCGTTGACCTAGTTCTTTATGTTTGTTGTTCACTAGCACTACGAAGAAATTTTGCATCCCATTGCATCTTCCACGGGGAGTAGTTAGCCATATTGTTCGGATCAATTCCAGCCACCAAATTCCACCAATGCACATCGGGACAAAACTCAAGGTATCATCCACAACATCTGGAAGCTTGGCAGTCCACCATGACTGTACGGTTTACTAGGAGTTTTGTTCCTCGCAATATTGGATTGATTGAATCTTGGTGGAATTATCTACCACCGGCGATTTTTCTAGACGGATAAGACTTACTCCTTTTAAAAAGACCGGCAACGCACTTGCAATTATCCTGGTGTTGCAATTGCTTATGTGCGCTGGTCGACACTTACTATTAGGAAAATTTTATTTAATGTGGGCGAAATCGTAGTAGACGGTGCATGCTTCGATTACAAGCCCATTAACGCTGGTGTTCTACAAGGCTGCGTGCTATCACCAACGCTGTTTCTTCTGCATATCAATGACATGTTGTAAACCGATAACATTCATTGCTATGCAGACGACAGCACTGGTGATGCTTTATACACCGGCCGTGCCAATATTTCTCGGTAAAACGTCGCAGAGTACCGGGACGAACTTGTGTCTGAAGTCGAAACTTTGTTGAACAAAGTCTCGGACTGGGGGCGACTAAAACTAGTTCAGTTTAATCCCCAAAAGACACAAGTTTGCGCATTTACCGATTAAAACACCCCCTTCGTCGTATCTCCTCAGTTTCAAGGCACTCCCCTTGTTGCCTCAGCCAGTATCGGAATCCTCGGCGTCGACATATCGAGTGACGTGCATTTTCGTGGTTACTTGGAAGAGAAGGCCAAATTGGCGTCTAGAAAGCTTGGCTTGCTCAGCAGAGCGGGACAGTATTACATGCCGACGCACCGCCTGCAACTTTACAAAGCGCAGGCTCGGCCGCACATGGAAAACTGTTCCCATCTCTGGGCCGGGGCCCCCAAGTGTCAGCTCCTTCCATTTGATCGCATCCAGCGCAGAGCTGTTGGAATCATCGGTGACCGAGCTCTTTCCGATCGGCTTGACTCACTGGCACTGCGAAGAGATGTTGCATCTCTTTGCGTATTTTATCGCATCTACCACGGGGAGTGCTCTGAGAAATTTTTCAGACTAATTACAGCCGCACAATTTCACCATCGCACATCGCGACAAAACTCTCGATACCATCCATACCATCTGAATGACTGGCGGTTCACCACCGTGCGATTTAAAAGAAGTTTTCTTCCTCGCACAACTTCTTTGTGGAATCGACTACCACCAGAGATTTTTCCGGACCGATACGACTTAGGGACCTTCAAGAAAAGAGCCTACTCCTTTTTAAAAGGCCGGCAACGCATCTGCAATTCCCCTGGTGTTGCAGTTGCTCATGGGGGTCGGTAATCACTTACCATCAGGTGAGCCGTATGCTCGTTTGCCCCCTCTCCTGTAAAAAAAACCGCGGGGTGAAAAGCTAGTATAATATAAAAATCTAGTAATAGTAATATATTCGTGGGCTATAAAGGTAAACATAGAGCAGACGGTTGGGGGGAGGGGGAGTATATTCATTAACTAAGCTGTTGGAGCTCTAAATCAGGCAATGGAGAAAGTCATGTCCAGGAAATGAATGGTTATTTGCTCATGAACAAGAAGTTATACGTGATGATGATGTATGGCGTTTTTTTATAAAAATAAGATGGCAAATAGACATACAGTCCACATGATGGTGGAGTGGATGCTGTGGCCCATAGATATGTATATTTATCCAAGATTAAGAATCAAAATTCAGATGCGATGTCACCCCTGAAGAGTAAGACAGAATGCCTCGTATCCATTAAAAAGGTATCCGGTTCTCTATACTAACCACACAAAACACAGCAGCCTTAAGTTGCTATTTCACACTGGTATTCTGTGAGAGCGGTGTCGTTCTCCGGTCGGGCCGACTCATTCGTGCTACAGCCATAATATAGCTGCAGTATGGCTCAACAAGATGTAAATGTTAATTCAACTTTAAATAAACGCTGTTAAAGACTTACGCCTCTAATGCTGCTACCCTATGTGAGCCAACTGCAGTACTGCTTCCCCAAATCCAACCGCCAAGCGTAGAATTATGACGAATTCTCCTAAATATAATACCGTCTTATGTTAAGAACGAGATGTTTAAAAATGACGACGGGTTTATACTCACCATTTGATACATTTAATTCTCTCTCTGTGGAGTGTGCTGCGACATGAGCGCCACGCTCAAACTCATCCCAGCTGTTAGGGGGTACTTGGCTTATCGAGTCAAACTCGACCTCAGCATTGGAACACATCTATAAAACAAAGTTAACATCTTGTCAATAAAGGTTTGTTCGGGTTTGTTACACTGTGCTGTGACACGCAGCTTAGGCTGGCTACACGCAAACCGAACGATAACAAGAAAAAGCTAATAAAGTAACAGACCACAGCAAACGATTGTTTACCTTGAAAACCTACAATCAATTATTTACAAAACCTACAACCGTAACCGATTTAAAAGGGGAGGCTTTTTACATCAATTGTAGATTTTGTATATTGCTTATATATAATTTGTGTTCAATCATACCAGGGTGATTGACATATGGGACACTATTCACTATATGATAAATGGCCAAATGACATCGAAATGAATAGTGTCTGTTTCTCGTCACTTTCATCTGAAAAGTAACGCTGGTTAAGCCGACCCGTTCGCGCTGCATCTATAATACAGTTGTGGCGTGCAACCCACTAAAGTTTTGTTAGTCGATATATTTATATATATATATCGTGTACTGTGAAAATTACAACGAGCATATATATATATATACACACACTAACTTGCCAGGCAGACGTTATTCTGCCCTTTTCGACGACTCTTTGTCATGTTCTATTAAAAATCCTTAAGAGCGCATATTCAAATATGTCCAAGTCGAAATCTACGCGATCGCTTTGGAACGGCGTAATATTGACGCACACTACAATGTTATCTCTGTGTGCGTGTCAGGGCGAGCGTGAGGCTGTAATAGTTGCCTAACGACGACTACGAATCACTTTGATCTTTGATTATATACCTGTCTTTGATACTATTGGAACTAAAATAATAAAAAATAATTTCCATATAATGGCTTATATAGTGTATAGAAATCGGAGGCTAATATGTGGAAATTGTTTTATTCTTTTAGTAAATTGAAGTCGGCTTTACATTTTCACCCTATTGAGTATACAATGTCGCCCATCGGCAAGTGACCGCCCGGGATATTCTGCATGTACATGAAAAATTATCGGTAAAAAACCTAAAAAGGGGGGGTCTATCTTAAATACTTTTTTAAGTTATTGAATTTTTAATTTTTTGAATGATGTTGGTCACCTTGTTCCACACTTTTTGCTCTAGCTCCAATGCTACGGGCACGATTTTGATTCTGTTTTCTTATTTCATCAGGTTAATAAGTTGTTTTGTTGGATTACGTAACATTTTTAGTTAAAATAAGGCGAATCATAAAAATAAACGAGAGACAAAGACATTTTTTCTAAGCAAAAAAGTGATATTTATTTACAAAAACACGTGTAAGTACATAAAATGCCCCCCTTAACATGGGCTTTTTACTCATTATTAATAATCTAGAGCATAACTACTACACATTTACAATACACTATCAATATCTATCTCTTAAAATTTTTTAATAACAGCGTGTCAAAAACGGGTCCCTCCTTGCTGTGCATCATCGTCATCCAGGTAGAGAGCGGTTCCTAGAAACCGGTAGATAGATAACGCACGTGCGCACCCTTTAAATAATTGATGCGGACGACATGGCGACATAGAGTTAAAACTATTAATGCAGAAATGCCTATTTATAATAAAAATAACAGGCATGATTAAAAAAAACAACAATTTTAATTAATTAAGTTTTCAAAATGGCCCCCACCCTCCTGTAAGCAAATAAAAGCCCTCGTGGCTACACTATTGGTTGTTCGCAGTAATTCTGCAGGATTTTCTTTAATTTCCTCTGCGGCAGCAAAAATCCTAGCCGTTAATTGTTCGCGGCTTTCAATGCGCGCGGCATACACCTTCTGTTTCATGAATCCCCATAAATAAAAATCTAAGGGTGTCAGGTCGGGCGATCTCGGCGGCCAAGCAACGGAGCCTCCTCGACCGATCCATCGCGGATAATTTTCATTCAGATAATTTCGCACTAGTCGTGCGAAATGTGCTGGGGCTCCGTCTAGTTGCAGATGCATTCTTCTTCTCGTTGCCAGCGGCACTTCATCCAAAAGTGAGGGCAACGTATTTTGGAGAAAATCTAAATATGCGTGTTGATCTAGCCTGTGAGGCAATACGTAAGGGCCAATGAGCATATTGTCAATTATTCCAGCCCATACATTAACAGAAAATTCTTTCTGAAAAGATGTTTTTCTTCTGACGTGTGGGTTTTCAGCGGCCCAGACATGAAGATTTCGGTGGTTTGTAATACCCGCCCTTGTGAATGTACTCTCGTCCGTCCACAAAATCTTCTTTAGAAACTCAGGATTGGTTCTTTGTTGCGATAAAATCCAGCTACAAAACACAGATCTCGCACGGTAATCCACATCTTCCAAATGTTGAGCACGCCGGAAGTGATAAGGATGGAGGCCTTCTTTCTTAAGAATTCTCCAGATTGTTATTCTTGGTACATTCAGTCTTATTGACAAGAGACGAATGCTTGTCATAGGGTCAGCGCGCACTAATCTTAACACTTCCTCTTCCATGTCCACGTGAAGTGCCACGCCAGGCTCATTTTGTCGTGGAAGTCCTTGCTCACAAAAACGACGATGCACAGCAATGAAGGACCGGTACCCAAGTACTGGCCTACCTGGATAACGACGTTTGTACTCTTCGACAGCAGAACGTGCATTCCCATCACAAAAACCGTATACAAAATGCATATCAGCTACGTGAGAAGGCGGTAAATCACGCAATCGTAGCATTACGATGCTTGAAACGCACAGGAATGGTCCTCGAAAAGATAAATAGCGCACAAATTAAAAAACACGTAACGTCCCGGGATCAGTAATCGAGCGACTGAATGATGCACAAACAACCAACCGAGAAGAGTGCGCACGTGCGTTATCTAGCGGTCTCTAAGAACCGGTTTCTACCTGGATGACCTTTTTTTTGCTTGATATGGAGCAAATTTTTGACACGCTGTTATTAAAAAATTTTAAGAGATAGATATTGATAGTGTATTGTAAATGTGTAGTAGTTATGCTCTAGATTATTAATAATGAGTAAAAAGCCCATGTTAAGGGGGGCATTTTATGTACTTACACGTGTTTTTGTAAATAAATATCACTTTTTTGCTTAGAAAAAATGTCTTTGTCTCTCGTTTATTTTTATGATTCGCCTTATTTTAACTAAAAATGTTACGTAATCCAACAAAACAACTTATTAACCTGATGAAATAAGAAAACAGAATCAAAATCGTGCCCGTAGCATTGGAGCTAGAGCAAAAAGTGTGGAACAAGGTGACCAACATCATTCAAAAAATTAAAAATTCAATAACTTAAAAAGTATTTAAGATAGACCCCCCCCTTTTTAGGTTTTTTACCGATAATTTTTCATGTACATGCAGAATATCCCGGGCGGTCACTTGCCGATGGGCGACATTGTATTATAATATGTATATGTTCTAATTGAAAAATATGTATTGTATAAAATATATATCATTTGATAAACTTTTATTCTGTTTCATAATGTAAACATAATTCATCAAACTAACAATTTCATTAGTGTCGGCGGGGATTAGTGTTGCCAGGTCTAGCAAGTAAAATTTCGGGACGGAAGGTAAAAATAATCGGGGATTTGGTTTTCATATCCGGACAACTACAATGACTACAAAATATACGTTCTTTGTAGCCTTTTTTGTGCTTTATTGAGAGCCGTGGTAGCTCAGATGGTCAACGCTAACTGTAAATATCACAGTATGCGAGTAATGCGAGAAATTGTGACTGTAACTTTACTTTATTTTTGTGCTTTATAATTATTATTCGGGTCTGATCTTATAAACGAATAAGTTTTCATCCAAACATCGTAAAAACTAATTTTTTTTCATTTTAGGCAAATTAAAACATTTTTGAACTAAGTATTTGTTTTTTTTTTTTGCAGTCCCTGAATTTTTCTTTAATGTGGTAGTAGCTAACAGATATAATCATTTTTGCTGTCAAAATTATGGATTAAAGTATAGAATAAGAAGATTAGTGAAAATCGGGACATTTGGCGTCCCGATCAAGGGTGAATCGGGACGTCCCGCGCAAATCGGGACACCTGGCAACACTAACGGGGATCGAGCCCGGATTGTTCGCGTTTACGGCGAGCACTACGCCCTTGAGCTACTCAACTCAAGCACGGCTCATATGTTTTATATCTGGGGGCACTACCGTGCCCCCGCCAAGTCGAGCAAAACAGCTGCACCGCCGTATCATCATTGAGAGACTTGGTTATTTTACAAGTTATGATTTTGATGGCATGTCTTTGTTTAATCATAACGTTATCTGCACACTACGAATTTTTCCTAAGTACATCGTTGGGGCAGTTTAAATACATTAATTTCACAAGGACAAACATCCAGACCTGGAACAATTATTTGTAGGTAATACAAATTTTTGTTACATTTGGGATTCGAACCTGCGACGCTCAGCGCTACAACTCATTACCAAGTCACTCCGCCACGGAGCCAAAGGTGAAAGCCAATGATTTTGTATTTTTACTTGATCCGAATTGCTTACGTTCATTACTCATTTCTAAAAAAATATGTATGAAATGAAAATTTGCCACCATTACATCATTTAATATTTAAATATTACAATCATAAACATATTTCAAAATTAGTTACTACCAAAAATATCGCTTATAAAAGTGTCAATCGTTTAAAATGCTCGATGGTGCTATAGGTATCTAGTTATAGTGTGGTGTAGTATAGCCCTATCGGTGTTTCAACGCGATCGCGCGGTGTCGGTGAGAAAAAGTAACGTCCTGTCGTTGGGATTACCCGGAGCGTACTGAATCGAACGGCCTCTGCGCACGATGATTTATAGTATTTTTAAAAAAATTATATAAAATAATTGACAAAATAAAACGAGCTAAATTTTTTTGGATATTTAACATTACATGTAGTTTGATAAAATAATTAAAATAGATATTTTTATAACCAAATACATAGAAAAAATTACATTGAAGTAGACAGTTTTGGTGATTTTATAATATTATTTTATAATATTAAATCGAAATATTTTCGTAATTTAGATTTTGCTATACATTAAAAGACTATATATTCCATTATAATAACGCTTAAAATAAAGTATTTTAGCTTTTAGTAATGGTTGTATTCAACCTGAAAGATAACTCTGATGCATATATTCGTAAAACGCTGTGAAGGGATTGTCTTCGCCCTAAAAAACCGTCATTAAAAACTATGATTTTGCATTGCTATGTACTAAATAAAGACTTCATCTTTCTAAAGCCCTAATTTTCAGCAAATAATCTCCTCACGTCGTTACGATATCGCCTTTGGAAAAACCATAGAACATGTAGTTTTCGACGCGAAACGCATATGCCCTCTTAAATTCGCAAAAAAATAAATTGTGGGACACTCATAGGCAAAAACTATCGTACTCTCAAGTTGGACCACGTTGTGCAAATTTGCTTAAAATCGGTTAAGTAGTTTAGGAGTCCATCGCGGACAAACAACGTGATACAAGATATAAGCTGTAATTTTCACAGTGCGCGAGCAACCCGAGTTCGATATCGATATCGTTAATTGAAATTTTAAGTTCTGATTTACCACGTAGCAGACAAAACTTTAAAAAAAATGCATGTCTGAAAAACAAAAACAAAAAGAATATTTCGACATGTAAAGTCCACAAACACGCATTGGGGCAGCGCGACGGACACTTCCTTGCCCCAAAAACACTCTCAGAAGTGAGAGGAGGCCTGTGCCCAACAGTGGGACGTATATAGGATGTAACTTTCATATGACTAATATGTCATATATAACATATTGTGAAATACTCAGACCGGAGCGGCGACTAGAAGCAGCGGGGAATCTGGTACAGCGATCGCCAATGCGACTGTCAAGCCAAAAAACCAAACCAATCAAAAAGGCATGGCAAAAATGGCAAAAAAAAAAAACCGGTTACAGACCGATAAATAATAACAGTCTAGAAAAGCTATACAAAATGGTGAACTTACCATTTCTTGTATTCCTCGGCGATATGCGCCCTCTGGCAACCGTGTGCACATATTTGGGGGGACCGGCGTGTCTTCGAACGTGTAGTCGTCATACCATTTTAGCGCGTTAGTGTAATTAGGCCAATCTACCAAGCAAAACAGTTCTATTAAATAAATACAAAATTAAAATGGGATGCACATTATCAGAAAAAATGATTAGCAACAAAGAGCGAGCCCTTCTACACATTGGGTGCGTTTGGCAGAAAAAAGCGCTAGCAAGCGCTTGTAAGCAAAATGGCGATCGTTAGCGGTAAGCGCTGTCAAATTGTAAGTAGCTATTTTCCTCTAGGACACGAAGTTAGTTTTAACCGGGGAACCTAACCCAATTTAAATATATGTTTGTAAAGTATTCATATTAAAAACTTACCAAACATGAATTTTTAATAACATGTATATCTCTATTCATGTCATTGTATTAATTAAAACTAATATTACACAAAACAACTTATAAACTCTGCTTCAAAACAAACAAATTAAATAAGCAAAATGGCGGATTGTGTCAGCGCTACTGAAGTTAGCAAACGTGTCCTGGCTGAAAACTGTTTAGTTTCGCCATTTTGCTTACAAGCGCTTGCTACCGCTTTTTTCTGCCAAACGCACCCATTGAAATTAAACGGTTAGCATCGACTTTTGTTGCGGAATATGGGAGCGTCGGGGTTTTCATCTAACAACGTAGATGTCTTCAAAGCAATATTATTGTAGTAAATAAGTTTTTAAGTTCAGCAATAGAATTTAATATCTTCGGCTACATTAACACTAAACATCAAATGGGATAAAAGTCAAGAATCGGCATATAATAGAAAAAATAATTAGAAGTTATCAAAAGAAGAATTAATCTAATGAAGTAACTAAGACTCATATTATTTTGTTAGTATTAAATCGCGTTGGTTGGTTGATATCGCTTTGATCAACATTTGCTTGAACATTATCAAACACGCGATCATTATAATATAAGGCTACGTATAATCCTAGATCATACATTTTAGAGACAGCTACATCTGTCCATCTATTCTATCGTGCAAGTGATGTAAAGTCGACTAAGAGAGAAGTCCGGATAAAGCCGGACACAGTCAGGCTTTTTGGTTGCGTGTCCGGCCAAATTAGACGGTGTCCGGCCTGTCTAGCTTTTGTTAGGCTTTTTAAACTTGACCATTTCTTTACATTTTTCATGTACTTACATACATACTATAGCAATTATTGAAATTAATATTGTAATGAACTAATGCATATTGAATGATTAATAATAAAGAAGACTGATTTATTGAATTGTTACAATTTAAGATTTTATGATAAATGATAAAAAACATTGTTTTACTTTAAAAAATGTCATTTTACTAAGACTAAAAAATTAAGCTCGCTGGTCTGTCCGGCTTTTCGGTATAAAGACCTGGCAACCCTATCCCAGTTGGAATAATTAACTTCTATATACGCGACCTAGTACCTAGACCTGCGATAGAGAGCAGGAAGGGTTGACACTACAAATCAAAAAATTAACTGGGTAGCGTGTCTGCGGTTGAATATTGACAGACCTTTAATGATGATTTTTTATTACATTATACACACAAGACGGTAAAAAGTTCGATACTATCTCACATGTATCCATTTAAACCAACTTTATTTTTTATTTTATTAAACCTAAATAATTTGATAAACAATTAAAACAATAAAAAAATTACCTTGCGGCGACGCCTGGTCACTTTGTAGCACATGATTCTCATTTTTATTGATATCTAACCAACCTTGAGGTTTTTCAGAACAGATATTGAAATTCAGGTGCTCTTGTTTAATACGGTAAGAATCAAAATTTCCTTGAGACCAGTACTTGCCACCAGACCAGTACTTGCTTTCAGTTTGTGGTACATTTAGTTTAGAGTTAATATGATCTTGAAGACTATAGTTCCAAATTCCACCATACACATGCTGGGGAAGGAATGCGTTTTGGCTGTTGTAAGCTGGATAATCAGGAGTAACTGGTTTTGAAGTGTAGGACTGTTGACAATTGGAAGTAGACGGAACTCCTTTAAAAAAAAGACAGTTAAATGTGTAAAAAATTATGAAATTGCAAAACTAAATAATTATCTTGTGTTGAGGCGTAAGAGAATTGAATTGAAAAATGAATGATTGCAGACTGAACATACAAGATTATTTTTCAAAGAGTGGCCATTTCTACTTAAGTTCAAATATATAATGATATACATTTATTGCAGTTTTTGAAAATACGAGTAAATAAGGCTTCTACTTTTATTTGAAATTATCCCAAATTGAATGTGATTTATGCGCAAAAAAGTTTTTACCTAGGTACCGATAGACCCTTTCGAATATGTGCGTGCTCAGTAAAATCAGTTAAAATAATACATTATCACGCATTTTGAATTTAAAAGATAAAAATAGAAGAACAGAAGTTTGAGATTTTTCTTAAATAATTTTTCTTCACCATTTGCTTATATTTCTTATTTTGAACCTTCTTTGCAAATTTGGCCAGTTATTGCAAACAAATATCCCTGTATAATAACTACACTCAGCACCTGAGTTTTAAGTTTTTTTTTTTTATATATTTGAACTAACTTTAAATTTGACTACTCTTTAAAAATAACCCTGTATATATAACAGTCAATCCAGAGATTCAAAGATTGAGCGGCCTATGGGAATACTGTCATACAAAAACTTTGATCTAGTCAATAAGTTTTGTATGTCATTAACATTATCATTAGTCATTAACGTTATGTATCTTTAAAAATATAAAACACGAATTAAAATAATTATGACAAACTTCAGCGCATTCAGGATATTTTCTTCGAAAATTATTTTCTTTAAGCCAGACGGATACCTCTCGTGGTCTCATATCACACTAGACCACATAATATATGGTATACTTTTACACTAGACCAGGGGTCGGCAACCGCCGAGTTGTGACCGCAGGCGTACGTGCGCTCCCGACTAAAATTATTCAATTCAGAAATTACAAAACAAATTGTTTAAATATTTTACATTATATTTTTTGGAGTCACCATAGACTTTCGTTTAAACTAGAAATCTCATTTGAAAAAGAAAAATAAACCAAAAAATCTCTAGCTAGAGTTCTCTAGAGTTATGCATTATTGATATTAGCAGAAACAACTTTCGTTGATCAAGGGCTGCATGTTACGGCCAGGTGTACCCTCTTGGTTTACGGTATTATTTTCTGGGGTAATTCTACAAACGTGCAGTCAACATTTATTCCGCAAAAGCGATGTCTGAAGATTATTTATAATATGTACTCAGATGAAACTCTAAGAAACGTATTCAAATAAAAAGGCATTCTCACTCTCACTAATATTTACATTTTAGAAATTTCAAATAGAATAGCAACTATTTTCAAATAATTAATATAAACCTTTTGCACAGATATTAAAATATTTATTCATCTGCCACTTGATATAAAAGCCATGGACTTACCAAGTTTTAAAATACACCTTAAGAAATGGTTAATACACAATGTTTTTATAATTTAAATGTATATTTAATTATCAAAAAATTTATATCAAGTTTTGTTTCTCAATTATTGCATACCCGATATAGGTAAACCGTGTAAAATTTTATTTGCATTATCACCTGCAAATCGTACATACACAGTTTGCTGGCAATAAATATTCTGATTCTGATCCTGAAGGAAAAAAATAATAACCCTCATTTCTTAAAATTCCGTAATCGGATAAAAAGTAGCCTGTACATTACCTGTCGCCCCGGGTCTGTAATTATTTTAGAGTATTTTTTGTCCTGTGTTGTTTATTATCTGTCCAGTAGCATTCTAGTGAATTGTGAATATACAGACAGACGGGCTGACTAAGAAAATTCTAATAAAGTCTAATTAAACTTCAGTGCCCTATGTTCAGTTTACTTGTTCTTTCTAGAAAATGTTAGCATTACATACAGACACGAATTTTCTGCAAAGTTTATTATATTATTATTTAAAGATATGACAAAAACCTTGTTTAAAAATTGGAATTTTGAAATGAGATTTTTTTGATGATTTGAATACAGAAGACCTTGTAGTAAACTTTTAAAACGTTGATACAAGGTTTTTGTTCTGCAAATTCAATTAGAAATTAAATATTTAAAAATGTTTAGAATAAATATGGAATAATGTACTACTAACCATAACCTGTTTTACTGAAACGGTCATTAAGTTCGCACACTTTTGTTTTGGGTTCCAACACATCATATGTTTCATTTACTCGATTCCTGAAAAGAAATGCATTAAATTAAAAAAAAACACCAAAAAATTGTAAAATAAAACTTCTCTAACAATAGTCAATTTACTAAGCGATCTGTACTCTTCATGGAATGAATATGTCACAATATTTAGTAGAATAGTGCACCCTGGTAATGAAAATAGGCAATTTGTTTTTATATATTGATTCTCCAAATAAATGCATCTCAATTTATATCTTTATTAACAATTTATCATTTAAGAAAATAATTATAATTTTAAAAAAGGTTTTTTTTTAAGTAAAATCTAAATAAAATGGTTTAGAACTCACTAAAGCCTAAATTTTGAGAACTCTCTTTCAAGCACCTCAAAGTTTTTGAAAAATTATTTGTACTCTTTCAAGTACTAAGCATTGTTTCTCTCAACATAACCAAAACTTAAAATAGGTATTTCTTGACTTTTAGCACCAGTTAAGAATATCTAAATATTATAAGTTATCATCATAATATCATTAAAATTAGATAATAATTGTGCATTCACTCTGGGTAGGGCATCTACAAATTTATTTAGCATATAGTCTGCTAATGCTTTTCAACTAAGCTATTTAGTTGTCTTTTAATTCTTGTTTTCTCATGAACTATGTAAAAAATTTATTAAAAGAAATAACAAATAACCCAACTTAAATCTCAGGTAGACTGACGAGGAAATTTGTTAACAATATGGGAATGTTGGTTCCATACAAACCAAAACATCTTCATCTCATCGCATTACATTCAAAATATGCATGCCAGTAATACCCTCAAGTAAGGCCTGGAGGCCTGAAGGCAAAATGAGTTAAAGGAGAGTTTATAGAGCATAAATTTACAAAATAATTATTGTTTAAGTACTACTTCACTCAATCTGTAATAAAATATTCTTACTTGATGACTTCACCCTGATCAGATTTTTTATTTTTTTTGTCCTTACTAAGTTTCCAATTTTTCTGTTTCTTGTAAAATTCTAAGCGATAGATTGCCTCTAAATTTGCTTCTGGTTTCTTTGAATCCCCCATGTTTTAAACGGAATCTAGAAAATAATTAATCTAGTAAACAATGTTATAAATAGTACAACATAAGAGTATTATCATACCTCTGCAGTATAATTTATCACATTTAAGGAAATAATTTACTGTACTGTACTGTACTCTCTTTGTGGAATTTATTAAACTATGAGTACTTATAAAACTTCTACAAGGATCAAGGAATACACTTCATGATAAATGTATAAGCATATTAGTAGAGCCGTGTTAGCTCAGATGTTTAACTCTCGCTGTAAATATAAGAAAGCGAGTAACCCGGGTTCGACCCCCACCGGCATCAATGAAATTGTTAGTTGCAGTTTTAAGTGCTGATTTACCACTTGCTCGGCAGTGAAGGAAAACGTCATGAGGAAACCTGCACGTCTGAGGAATAAGAAAAAAAATATTTCGAAGACATGTGAAGTTCGCCAACACACATTAGAGCAGCGCGGCTGACACTTCCTCGCCCTAAAACCCTCTCAGAAATGAGAGGAAGCCTGTGCCCAGCAGTGGAACGTATATTTTTTTTATAGGATAGGGTGACAAACAAGCACACAGTCCACCTGATGGTAAGTGGTTGCTGTGGCCCATAGACATCTATATCTATTCTCGATTATGAATCAAAATGCAGATGCGTTGTCACCTGTGAGGACTTAGATGGAATGCCTTGTTTCCAGTAAAAAGGGTCTCTGGTTCTCTACACTCACCATACATCACCATACTCACAACACAGCAGCATTAAGCTATTATTTGACACTGGTATTCTGTGAGAGTGTGGTCCTTCCCCAGTCAAGCCGACCCATTCATGCTGCAACTATACTACTAATATAACTGCAGAATGGCTCTACCACATAAAATATGCTGTAACTTTTATTAGTACGCCTTAATTTATTTTTTCCCTACAATAACAACATTAACAATCCAATGTTATACATGATAGAGCTATGCTGCAGCTATATTACTAGTATAGTTGTAGCACGAATTGGTCGGTTTGATTGGGGGTGGACCATGCTCTCACAGAATACCAGCGTAAAATAGCAGCTTAACGCTACTGTGATTTGTATGGCGAGTGTGGAAAACTGGAGACCTTTTTTGCTGGAAACGAGGCATTCCATCTTAGTCCTCACGGGTGACAACGCATCTGCATTTTGATTAATATTTGAGAACACATGCACATGTCTATAGGCTACAGCAACCACTTACCGTCAAGTATCGTATTAAAATAAAAACAAATTACTATATTTTCTATGTTTAAGAAGCCTTATTACCTTACCCTTTTCCTATTAAATGTAATTTATAACGAAAACTCACTTAGATTTACACGAGTTTCACAAAAAATAACACGGAAGCGATCACGTTAATTTGTCTAATATACTTGTCAGCGTTAGTAACCTTCATCGAAAATAAAAAGAGATTTTAAAGAGGATTGAGGGTAGAACTTGAACGAAACACATTTCTAGTTTGAAGTTATCCGCTACCTTAGAGTACCTTCTACACCACAGACTTAGGATTAGTGATGTTCAATAATCATCGATGTTAAAATTAAAGAATCGATGTTTCTACATGTCAAACATCTAAACACCCGTAATCGATTAATTTAATTAATTGTTATTAATTAGAACGTAATTTTCAAAAGTTGGCTCAACTATTTATCAACAGAGAAACAGATTGAAAGTACTTCTTTGTCGAAATTGCTATCTGTTCAATCGATAGTAAAAAATGTTGGACTGTATAAGAAATGAGCTAGATGTTTGTTAACTTCTACCAATTTTTTTTAAGTTACTGTTTTAAACTAAGTGCATTGTTTATTAATTTCTTTTATTTAGATGTGTTATTCGCATGTGACTATGCGAGTAACATATCTAAATAAATATGTGACTGCCTCGTTGGTCTAGTGGTTGTAGTGGCGCGACTGCTGATCATGAGGTCCTGGGTTCGAATCCTGGGTCGGGCGAAAAAATTATCGAGTTTTTCCGTCAAGAAATTCTCAATAGCCGCCCGGAGTCAGGAAGTTGGCTGTATATCACCCCCGTGCTTCGGAAGGCACGTAAAGCCGTAGGACCTGCGCCTGATCTCTCTCCGGTCGGGTCGGTTTACCGTCCCATCGGATTATGAGAGTGATGGAATGTAGAGTGCACCTGTGCTTGCGCATACACTTGGGCACTATAATCCTGTCCTGCGCCAATGGCTAGTCTCCTTTGAGGCTGGCCGCCGTGACCGAAATTTGGTCTGGAGGACATTATTATTATTATTATATTCGTATGTGGCGCGACGACTGCACTGCCATATCACCCCTCCCCCCTGCTGAGACTGAAGGTTGATAGTGCACTCCGATTGCAGGTGCGTCCTTATGCCGTGGGGAATGCATGATGTGCGCGTAAGGGCAAGTGACGCGAGTGCAAACGATATGCCGTTTGTAATGCATGCCGTACTACGCACTTACAAGTGATGCCGGTGAGAACGATGTGCCGGAGCAAGTGTCAAAAGTCTGCCTTATAAATCTGCGGTGAATCGAGATGAAGACAAGTTGGACTAGCTTGTTAGAACTGAATACTGTAGTAGAAAATTATAGGGGTTCTTAAGGATAATGACGAAGGCTTGGAGTTGTATTTTCCCAAGGCTGTTGGTTGCGTGTTCAAATCGCGTCGGGTTCATCACTCTAACCGGTGAAGTAATTATTGTCAACGTAGTCAACATAGCCTTTGGCTGCTAACACGGTATTAAGTCTGTAGCCGGTGAAGGAAAAGGGGAGATCTCCCGCCTGGCAAGGTGTTCTGCCCGGGAAGGGGCCAATACTCCGTGTGATTGTTTGGAGCTATATAGAATATATATACCGTTTTGATTCAGAACTTTGATAGCGCGATTTAGGCTTCGATGTGTTTTTCGCTTGTGGCGCGACTATAGCGCCGCCATAAGTCAATTGCTTAATTTTCATTTCATCCATGACCAAGGTTCAATATTTTTTTATCAGTGTTACTCTCCACTCTCAATTTTAATGCCGTTGAGTAAACCCTGGTCGGCCATCGATGGTACTGTACCACTAAATCAATGTCCGTAGTGCAGGCAAATATTTTCCAAAAACTTATATAGGTACATATCGGTAGGTTTTTAGTTAATTATTAAGTGTGAGGGCAATAGATTTAAACTCTGGGGAATGTTTAGTTCTAGGCAGTTTTCCAGTCTTATTTTTAAGTAATTGTCTCTTTAAAAGTTCGCTTTCATCAATTCCTATCTTTTTAAGAACTGTTTATTTTCTTTATTTATCAAATATGTCTCTGTCAGCGAATCTAGTATTTCTTACAACTTGTAATTTTTTTAAATACTGTTTCTGCGATTGAAGCCTTTTTATGCTATTCCTTTTAATTTCGAGGTGTCTATTTAGTTTAATTTCCCTTGATGTATAGTCTGTTCGCATAGATATGGTCTCTTTTGTGCCGTATCGCCTCGGCATGTGCCACATTTTGTCAGGCACCGCCACGACATTAAAAGTCGTGCTGTAAAGCACCCGAAACGTGGGGAATCAAAAGTCAAAATTAAACGCCATAAAATCCGTATAACTAGTTTCAGTAAGTGTGTTCGCGTAAATATAAGAAGTCATTGTTGTAAAGTTATTGGAATGCTAAAATATTTTCAAGAAGAATAATATTTGTGTCAAGGGTAATAATAAAAATATTTACTCCGTCTGTGTACATATATACAATATGTACACAGACCATGAATATATGTACATAAACAATTTGAACGTGAGTAACACCGCGGAATGAAAAGCTAGTAATAACATAATTCTTTGGCCTAAGTCTCAAAGCCGCTTTTGTTTCATTAAATCTTCTATTTTTAAATACCGCCAAAGAATGATATATATGTACTCACAATACCAATTCGAACAGTCCACAGTTGGATATGGGCCTCTTCCATTGTATGGAGGTTCCCCGTGATAGCCACGCTTTGCGGGTGGTGTACGATCTTTGACGCTGCTTCCTGTCGCCTATTTAAGAATTTTATATCTGGTAATAATGTAAAATGGTTGCCGCCGCAAGTTGTCTTGAGTAATATCGATACTTTTAGTGCGATACCTGCTATTTTTGTACACGATACTTTTATTGGAGTATTTTACTAAGTATCAATACTTTCTTAGCTACTCGATACTTTTGCCGCTTCATTAAACTGTCAGATAAAAGTCAGAAGATAGTACTTCTTTTTCCGATATATACTGTCATCCCTCTCGATGGAGTAGGGATTTTCGGGGGAAAATCCTGTTATAGTTTGAATAACGCTTGTGGGACCAGGTAAATATATTTTATATATTTAGTAGCAATATCTCGTGATTTTGATGAATGAATAATATACCTTGTCCGGAAATAAGTTCTGTTACAAATGAAAATGCATTTTTTTAATGAAGTAATGTAATATTACTAAAACTTATATGTAAATATTTATTAAAGTCTTAGCAAAAATAAAAACAATATTCTATTCGAAATGGCCCCCTTTAGCTTTTATACAGGCCTTTAATTTGTCTGACCACGAATCTATGGATTTACGCACTGTTTCCATGGGAAACTTCGCCACTGCTTGCTCCAGAGATTTTTTAAGACTCAATGTCACCGTGTCGTTTAGAGCAAGCCATGTTCTCTTAAATTAACCATAATTTGTAGTCTAAAGGGTTGAGGTCTGGGCTAGATGAGGGCCAGTCTTGAGCTCTTATAAAGTTCGGAACGTTGGTTTCAAGCCAGGCTTGGGTAGTTCGTGCCTTGTGACCAAAATACGGACTACCCAAAGCTAAGCTGCTGCAAAGTCCACGGTATATTTAAAAAAAGTGTATTGCTGAGAGGTTTCACAACACGATTTAAGACTGTCTCTTGATATACTTCGGCTGAAGTTTTCACTCCTTTTTCGCAAAAATGTAGCTTTGTGTCGCCTTCATAAGACACGCCCCACCAAACCATCACTGACGCAGGATGATGACATTTTGATTTGCTTCTTTAGAGTGCCACCTC